AAATTCCTAAGAGAAAAGAAAGAGAAATGCCATTTACTATCTTGCCAAAAACCTAACTCTGTAGAATACACAGATCCTAAAAATGTGCTTAGGCTAACAAATTCATATTTTAATATAAGTATTGCTGCCATGGTTTTCCCAGTTTGTTTTTCCCTTTGTATTTTCAAAGTCTAACTTGTTCAAAAGCATTCCAGAGAAGGCAAAATATTATATGATTTCCTAGCCATTTCTTAAATACCATACATCATCATAAAATGTCAAAATTTGGCCTCAGATTGCAAAGCAAAAAATAATTTTGAAGCATCCTTTAATCATGTAGAACAGTAATAATAATCTTTCACCCAAAGCACTTTAAAATTGTTAACAACATATCTGGCTCAAAATGGATAGTGGCTGAGGGGAATAAAGAAAACAAAACAACAACAAAAGAAAAAGGCAAAAAAAAAAATTTAAAAACCCTTTCACCTTTTTTTTTAACCAAATATAAAAGCATGCCCTAAGCACATGTATTTTTCACAGCGCTGACAGCAGCAGACCTAATTGCCTTTCATGTAAATTAAGAATATGTACCTTTGTTTAAGCAGTAATCTAGGTCAAGATGAGAGGGGTGGTTTATTTGTTTTAGCTTATTTAGAGCTTTGAAATGGCACTTAAAGCATGGCTTGAAAGTTATTCTTGGCTTCTATGTATTTAAGGAAGAAAATGTGCCTCTTTTAAACTTTTTCCCCATCTCCACTTACCAATAACAGCACTCCACTCCACACATCTTGAAGGCGTATAAAAATACTTAACAGCTTTGTTATAAGACACTTGAGATTCTGGTTGCTGCTACATATTTTTAAATCTTTTCTATTTGCTAAAGCTTGATGAATCTGAGAATATGTCTAGAGGGTAAATAGTGACTTGGAACCATTTGCTGCCGAGTCGCCTCACTAGAATTATTATAGGTTTTTCCTCTCCTCCTGGATACAGATATTTTTGGGTTTTTGGGGTTTTGGGGGGGGGTTGGTCAAAAAAAAAAAGATATTGAACTACCACGTTCATCTGACCAATTTTTAACATAGATTATATCATAGGGAGGAATTTCTGCCTGACCCCTTCTGGTTTATGGCACTAGTGAGTTTAAGTGTGTGTGACTGATCATCGGCCCCCTGAACATGGAAAATTTTATCTCAGCATGTTCTATCTGGAACCTGGCAAAAAGGTTGGTTCATTTGTTTGTGCGTTTGTTTTAAGCATTTCATCCCAGGAGAGCATTTTGTGGAGAGCACATCACAAAGAAAGTTATGTTTTAAAGATCAAAGAACTGTTTTTCTCATTTATATAATTTCTAGTGGAGTCATAGATCATCCGTACCAAACGCCATTTGCTTATAATCTATTGGTTGTCATATCCTCATGAATATGATGTATTAATAGTAAAATAATTTAGAAGCATTCCAAGACCCTGGAGCTAATGGAGTTATATGGGTCTAAAATCCAGGCACTCTCTGCAAGGGGAACTAATTCTTAACTGCTATTGTCCTGTCAAAGTTATTTTATTCCATTGTAAGAGAGCATTACAACAATGTATAATGTATAACGTGATTATACATTTTATTTTTTAAATATGCTGTTAACAATGAAGAAATATATTGGATGCAAAGCAAAGATTTGGGGGTAAAGCACCATCCAAAAGGTTAACTTTTGTTCAGTAAGAAAATGCAGAATCAGATATTCTAAAATAATTCGTTTTTCCTTAAGAAGCTAAAGAACTTCTTTACCAAAAGAAATCAGAAGTCATATGTTGTTTTGTATTTGTTTTGCTTACAAAAGAAGTGAGTTTTTTTCAAATATCTATATTAAATACATCCATCTAGTAAAAGTTTTATGATGGGGATAGAGGGGGAAGTAAAACTTCACCAAAGGAGCAATGCAAGAAGAATTACGAAAGTATAAAATGTTTGCTATCTGGTGTGGGGATGGGTGGATCCTGATGACTGGTTCTTTGTTTACATATTTGTGTTTGTTGTATTTTATTTATATTCTGTCATCTTCAAATAAGTAATTTACACTGTATTTATTTATACAAATAACTGCATCTCATGTAACCAATTTATAGAATAAATTGTTATGTTATTAGTAAAAATATGAGGTTCACATGGAACATTTTTGAGGTGTTTGAATTATCCTTATATTCACATAAAGAGGTGCATTGAAAAAATATTAAAATTGATCATGTTTAACTTTGTAGAACTCAAACCACAATAAAAAATTTTCAAGGCTTGGAAGCTGAAAAATAAGTTTTAGTTGTTTGATTTATAATATCCAATTGCTCACATTCTTTATATTGAATAAATCTGGAGGAAGTTGATTAACAGGTCCCACATATTTACTTCAATTTTTGGCAGAGAAAAAACTTCAAATGCATCTTGTAACATCATGAGATACTACAAAAAGATATTTTATAAAGTCTCAAATACTGTGATACCTGAAAATTTGTTTCTATCAGAAGTAATTCAAAGTTTGATTTGCTCTTTAAATGATGCTATTTTGCATTTTGTGTTCAAAGTTTAAATTTCATCACTGCTGCTTTATATGCAATTGGAAGCATGTAACACGATCCAAATTAGCAAATTGAGCTTGTTATTAAAAATATCAGCAGGATAAACAAATTAGGTCAATGAAGTTTCTGAGAGTATTTAAGTAATGTTATTGTGATTTATTTTTTCTTGGTACTGGGCACTGAACCCATAGGAGCTTAACCACTGAGCAACATCCCCAGCTCTTTTTATTTTTTATTTTGAGACTAAATTGTTTAGGGTTAGGGTTGGGGTCTAGTTGTTTAGGATCTCGCTATGTTGTTGACAGGCTGGGCTGGAACTTGTGATCCTCCTGCCTCAGCCTCCTGAGTTGCTGGGATTACAGGCATGTGCCACCACACCTGGCAAGTAATATTATTTCATTCTCTAAAATTAATAGCATTTTTGGTCTCACTTGCCATTTTTAATTGTAACATTTATTTTAAGGATAGACAACACACTTCAGCTTTTGAAACCAGAATTCATAAAAACAAATTCTGGAATTCACTCCAGTTGAATTAACAAAACTCATATTTTGCCCATTGAATAAGCACATGACTAAATGTTGACAACTGTCATTAATTTCTCCTCCTCAATTTCACTTGCACCCTTTTAATGTTCTTCTTCCTTGTGGACATAGCTTGCTTTTATGATTCTCTTGCTTCTTCTGTGGCTATAGCAATCATTTCCAACGAGCCTTCTACCTTTCCAAGCTGTGTTCAGAGTAAAACTCTGAAAACACAAACATAATCATGAAATGTCCTGCTCAAATCCTTCCTAAGATTTCCATTAGTCTCAAGATAAAAATTAAATCCTACATATCAAATTAAAAATTAAATCCTATCATACACCACCCTACTGCCCAGTCACTGCCCTTTTTGACACCAATCTTCCTGCTACATCCCCAAGCCAAGACCTGGAGCCCCTGATACTGATCTTTCCATCAAGACTTACTTATTCTTTCTTCTGTCTCAAGACACTGTACAAACTACACTTTCTGGAAGATTCTTCAACCCTGTTTCCTACTCTTGCGGAGTTAGATGGATCCAACCAAACTTCCAGATCTCTGCTGGAAAGACCATGTCTTCAAGGAACTGTCCTGGGGCCTCTCAGGTCTTTCAGGTCCATGGTATTGTAGCACTGACCATTGTTGTATGAGCACAGGTACATCAGTGTGATAATTTGGTTAACATCTGTCCCAATTACATGAGGACAAAGTCTATGTCTGGTTTTGTTTATCCTCGTATCCCTAAAGCCTAGAGCAGTACCTAATATATCTTGTACATACTCATATTCTCTGAACAAAGGAATGAGTAAATAAGTAATAACACTTCAAAAAAAAAATCTGACATTTTAAGCATCCAGTTTTATCTTTGCAGCAAGAGTATTTGAGCAAATTTTGGAAATAGTTTTCACAGGAACCACCACTCTCTTTCTTTATGTGTTATCAGACATTAAAATGGCAGGTTAGGTCCAAAAATGTTATTAATTTTTCTAACTAAAAAAGTCACAAATACTTTTCAATAACTACTTTGTTGTTTGTCTTGATGATTTTTTATAACATGCTCAATTTGTTTAATGAAATCGTCTTGACAGTCATCAGAACTCAATGTATTTTTGTAAGTTTATATCATAAGGTTAAAAACTATTCTAATCTCCTAAAATGTCTCTATCTCTTCCATATTATGTACTTTCTAATAAAATAATGATGTCCCTCACATTCATCTATAAGGATGAAAAATAAAAATAATAGAGTTCAAAATATCTATACTCTCATTCTGTTGAACTGTAATTCATGCTATTTCCACCTACAAACCTCCCTATCGAATATCTTATAATTACAGTTTTAGATTCTTCTCTGGACTTTGTTACCAAACTTTCATATCAATTGTATCTTCATAGTACATTATTGTCTGGTATGGGCACAATAGGTTTCAATAGTTTTTATGCAGGAGGGAACAGCCACCTCATGAGCAAGGCAGCAAACAAACTTTTTCAATGATGTTATTTGTCTATTTTCATGGGCATATTTAAATTTTGTTTGCATACATTGTTTTCCTATGGTGTTAAGCTAATCAATTTACACAGAAAGAATCTACATCTCATTGTTATGCTCACTATGGTTTGTTTCAAGATAAAATTGAAACTTGGTGGGGAGTATAGGACATATTAGCTACATAAAGACACTGAGGATTTGGGAAAATTTTAATCACCCTGAAGGATATTAACCTAATGACAGGAAAATTAACATAAAACTAACATGACACCACTTCTACTTTGCATGAGCATTTCCAACACACTGTTTCATCTGCACCATTTGTTCCAGGATGTCTAGGCAAAATCAGAACCTAATTGGCTCTAGAAGAATATGACTGGTTTCATTTTCAGTCCAAACAATCCCAAGCAGCTGATAATAGATTCCTTTAAAATTTCCCCTTACCAATCAAAACTGTTCCTGATCTTAAGGACGTGATGACTTAGCTGATGTTTTAGTCAACGTTTTCCCTGCTGTGACCAAAGGACCTGAGAAAAAATTTTAAGGAGGGAAAGTTTATTTGGCAGCTCATAGTTTCAGAAGTCTCAGTCCATATTTGGCTGACCCCATTCCTTGGGGACTGAGGTGAGCAAGAAACATGGCAGAAGTCTGTGGTGAAAGAAGGCAGCTCAAGACAAGGCACTATGTAAACAGGGTGTGTCCCCTCACCACAGATAAAATATGTACCAAAGGCATGCCCCCAGGAACCCACCTCCTCCAGTCACACCCAACCTGCCTACAATTACCACTCAGTTAATCCTTCTCAGGGGATTAATTCACTGATTGGGTTAAGGCTCTCCCAACCCAATCATTTTACTTTTAAACTTTCTTGTGCTAACTCACACGTGAGCTTGTGAGGGACATCACATATCTAAACCATAATATTCTGCCCCTGGCCCACAAAAGCTCATGCTTATCTCACAATGCAAAATATATTTAGTCCATTTCCAAGAGTTCCCATAGTCTCAATAGTTCCAAAATTGCCCAAAAGTCCAATCCAAAGTCTCCTTTGAAACACAAGGCAAACACTTAGCATGAGCCCCTGTAAAACTCAAAAGCAACTTACAAATATCCAATATATAAAGGCACAGAACAAACCTTTCCATTCCAAAAGGAAGAAAGAGGGGCACAGAAAGAAGGGATGAGACCAAAGCCAGACTAAAATCAAATTGAACAAACAAGTCCTCCATGTCCAACATGTTCTCTCCAAAGGGATTATGTAGCTCTGCCCCTGTGGCCTTGCTGGATGCAACCTATATGACCTCTCTGTTGGATTGTCTGTGCTCAATTCCTACAGGTTTTGTTGGTAAATGCTCCAGTACTGGCATTTTTTAACCTCAGGGATCTCCATTTCAGTGTCAGCTTCCTCCTCACATTTCCATGCACTGCCCTTTCAAGGACAGCCCACAGGGACTTATACCCTGCTGCACTTTGCCTGGCCTCCCAAACCTTCATTTGAAATCTTGGTAGAATCCACTATAACCCCTCTAACTCCAGCGTCCTGCATTTCTGCAAAAGCAGCACTACATGGTTGTTGCCCAGATCTGCCACCATCTCCAGTAGCAGCCAAGCCACCAGGGACCATGGCTGCAGCATCCTCTGAGTACCTGGGTGGCTGAGCAACATTCTAGGTCAACATCCTAGGTCCCCCTATGCATATAGGGTAATGCATTAGTTTCTGCTCAAAGTAATTTTTGCTTTTATACCCTCAAGCCTAAAATCGGTATATCTTACCAATACCTGAGATGCCCTCAAGCCATCTTTCCTATTGTCTCTGGGCAAAGTCTTTAGTGGCTGAATGTCTTCTGGCCAAACTACAAGTTTTTCAATTCTTTCTGTTCCGCTTTCTTCTCTTGATTATCACAATAAACTTGCCTAAAAGAAACTAGTCATATCCCTACAACCTCCTGAATACTATGCTGCCCCAAAATTTCTTCCACCAGATTAAGAAGCCCATCACCTTTAAATCAGTTTTACAGAAAGTCTCAGGACATGGGCCAAATGTAGACAACTTCTTAGTCAGAACCTAACACAAATGACATTTAGTCCAATTTCCAAGCATCCTCCTTCTTTGAAATCTCATGAGCCCTATCTTTACTGTCCACAGTCCTGGTGACATTCTGGTCTCCTGAGCTCCCACCAGAATCACTCATTAAACTCTGCTTATAATAATCTGAAACTTTTCAAGCTAGCATCTCTAAATTTTTCAAAATTCCTCCCACAAATTACAAGAAGCTCCACACACTTCTAAACCACATGATCATGTTAGTCACAGTAATAGCCCCACTTCTCCATACCAATTTCTGTTTTAGTTAGTTTTTTCACTCTTGTGACCAAAATAACTGAAAAGATCAATCAGAGGAAAAGTTTATTTTGGGGCTCATGATTTCAGATAGCTTAGTGAATAGATGGCCAGCCCCTCTCCCCAGGGTTCAACGTGAAGCAGAACATCATGACAGAAGGGTGTGGCACAGAAAAACAGCTCAGGACATGATAATTACACATAGGTACCCCTAAGCTAGGCTCCCTGTGAACCACTTTCTACAGTCACATACTATCGGCCTTCCGTTACCACTAAGTTACCCTTCACAGGGGATCAATTAACTGATTGGGTTAAGGCTTTTATATCCCAATCATTTCTCCTCTAAACCTTTCTTGCATTATCTCACATGTGAGTTTTTGGGGGAATACCTCATAGCTAATTCATAACAGCTAAGAAACACTTTTATTTCTATTTATAATAAAATATAAATTATAATTATAATTTAGAATTTGAAATTATTTTCAAATTAGGTATAATTATTTTTAAATTTAACATATAAAATTTTAATTATAAGTATAAACAATTATAATTATATTATTTTTAAATTGCCTAGCCCTCTTCTAAGTGCTTGACAAATGTCATCTCATTTTATCCTCATTACAAACCTTTGGGAAGGTATCGTTTTATCCTCTTTCATAGAGAAAACAATTAAGACATGGAGAATTTAAGTTATGTTTGAGGTTATAGGGACACAGCTATCAGGTGGCAGAGCCAATCGTATTCAGGACTTTGATCTCAGATTCTATTCTTCAAGCATTTTGTAAACGTGAGATGGGCCAATAGTACCAAAGGTAGCAGTTACAATGGCTCAGGTGCTGTGAGAGCATGGTGTGGTAGTGTCAGAGCCAAGTGCACACTGAAATGTCATCTGGCCCTTTAGAGTACCCAAGACATCCCAGGTAGAGGAGAGCCTGTGCTCCAACAAGGGCAGATAGGTTGATCCACCCAGACTTCAGTTTAAGGCCAGTGCTAGGCTATAAACTTCTTGAATGTCTGCAAACAACTAAAATGTACATTTTTAAAAGATATATTTCAAATCCACTTTCTAGAAACCTGGGATACCAGCTCAATGTCTGGAGTTTCCAAGTACCATCTGAATCCTAGGACCACAGAGTGCTAAAGCATTTCACTCCACCTCTCACTTGCTTTCCAATGCACGGTGGCTCCAACACGAATGCCTTTGAATCCCATTTTCTTGGTGAAAAGATGATTTTATTTTTTTCCTTCAAATAAAGGAATACTGATCTGTGGGTATAGATTGCCACACACCAGAGTTGAATTACTTTTCTCTGCTCAAGAAACCATTTCCAATTTCAGGATACTTCATCTATTCTCCCCCTACCCCTTGATATTTTTTAGAAAGCTCCCTTCATTTGGGTTCATCTATAGCAGTTTATTTACTGTACATCCACAGCATGTTTACAAAATAGCATTCTTGGCACATAGCAGTCAGTCTGAAGGAGTATGAAAGTTATAAAATGAAAATACTGAAAATACATACATATATATATATATATATATATATATATAGAGAGAGAGAGAGAGAGAGATACATACGTGTATTATGTGTTTATATATACTGATAATATTTTACATTCAGGTTACTAGATTTGAATTAATTTTGTATCCAAATTAAGATATATATGTATATATATATATATATATATATATATATATATATATATATAGAGAGAGAGAGAGAGAGAGAGAGAGATCACATCCCATTTCCAGTACCCACTATATGAAAAAATAAAATCATTTGGATTAATGTGAGAAATAAGACAAACAGAAATGATATTGTGACATGTATATAGTCATCTATACACGCATACACATATGTAAAAATGTGTACAGAAAGAGAGAGAGCCTGGAAGAACCAAGTATTGCTGATGGGATTGTAAGGGGAAAAAAAATTACCAGGAAGTAACTTCATCCCTTCCACAAATTCTTGATCTTAGAGCCACCTTCACTTTTCTGTCTGGTCCCTGGCACGATGCTTAAAGGAAAAAAATACATAAAAAGCATTCAGTAAATATTCGTTGAATAAATCCATACATGAAAGAATATAGGGAGAAAGGAAGAGAGGAAAAGAAGGAAGGGCTTAATCAAGCAATCGAATTATCGGGTCCAATCTCCACTGTCATCTATTTCTTTACTATTTTTCTGAGTCCACTTCTCTCTACTGCCTCGTTTTCTTATGGGCCTCATTGACTTTTCAGTATTTCACAAAGCACATTCCTACCCCGGGTTATCTTAAGCTTTTATTTTCTCAACTCATTTCTTGGAAAATTCATGGGAGCAACCAGGTCCAGGATAAACCCGTTCAGTCTCCCTGATTCCTACTTGATCTTTCATGTTCCTGTATTTTTAGCACCTCATCATCTTGCCCTAGTCCTTTTTTCAATTTCTCAAGTCCCCAGTTCCATCCACATCCATCTTAAAAATGACTCAAAGAAAATCCATCCCTCCTTTACAAGCCAAACTTCCCACCTACCCGTGATCTTAACTGCCCCACCCCACTGCCTTTGCTCTGGTACTCCTTTCCCGTTTTATTAGCATGCTCAGGATGATTCATCCACAAGGAACCAAAACCAAAATCACCACCAAAACACATTTACCTCTATTTTTTTATTTCCTCTTTTGGTCATGATCTAGCCTTCCTCCATCTGTGGTCTTCCTTTTTACCCTCTCTCTGTCCAAAATAAAAGTTTCGGAAGTTACAGGTGTTCTCAAAAGTCAACTCTCATGATATTCTAACCGTTCTCATCCTTTTCAAGCCCCAGGTAGCCTTTAGCACTACTAGCCTCTCCAGCACCTCCAACGTGGCTCCTTGACTGGTTCCCTTCCCATGGCTCCCTGTAGGACCGTCTACTGCCTCATTTTCATCCTGCAGCACCCTATATGTAATAGTTCCTCGGGTGTAGACCCACTTTCCCCCATCCCTTGAGGAGTTACATGCCTCTCATGACTCCCAATCGTATAATTCAACATTTTCAACCAATACATCAGCCAGACATTGATCTGGCCTCTCTGCTTATATTTTAAAGCGCACGCACACACACACACACACACACACACACACACACACACACACACACACACAAATGCACCAGGTTTCTGAAAAGCTGTTTTCTCCGAAGGACTCTTTTTCTGATAACTAACAATTATTTCTGAGTCAACAAGGTTCAAACCTAAAAGTAATCAAACTCTGACTTCTTGTCTTTGCCTCCTACAAATCCTTCATAGGTTTTTGTTTGTTCTTATGTTTTTTGTTGCTTGGTGTGGGGTTAGATAGAGGGAAAGAAAAGAAATAGGGGGAACTGGACTCACTGTGGAACCCACTGCACGGAATCAAAATGCTAAACTGAGAAAATCAAGGGATTGGTTTATTCTAGCGTGACAGTGGTTTAAAATGACTAAATGACATGCAAAAATTGGGAACACAGGCATTTTATTTTTCTTCAACATTACCAGAGGGGCTGGGGTTGTGGCTCAGTGGTAGAGTGCTCGCCTGGCACACGTGAGACACTGGGTTCAAACCTCAGCATCACATAAAAATTAAATAAATATATTTTTTAAAAATTATCAGAAACAAATATTTGTAAGTTCACACAATAGCACATAGTTCTGGGATCACCATGTTACATCAGGTGTCTCCAATCCTTAACCAAATTCACATAATGTGTAACTGCAATTAGCCTCATTGCTTAGGTAGCCAACAAATGCTCTTTCTGTGATTAAGACTCTTTTCTGTTTACTTGTTATGATGCAGTTTTTAATTTCTAAAGAGTTTCAAAACTTAACATTTGTATGAAACATCCCATCAAAATTTCCTCCCTTTTATATTGTTTTATTTATATTATTCTAGATCTCTTGCTTCCCTGACAAAGTGATTTAGAATTTCTGCGCAAGCAAGGCAAGTGAAGACCTCTTTTCAAAAGAAAAGGTAAGTCCCCAGGACTGAAACGTCTCTAGGCATGAAAACTTCTTAAAATATCCAGCTTGTTTGTCTTGATGAAGTCACTTGGCTAAGCTGCAGTTTACCTAGCAGTCTATCATTTATGCTACTTGCTTCTGTGAATTAGCTATAGATAAGGATTCCAAGAGTGTAACTGATCTGATTGTCATACTATTTTTGATCACATGAAAGCAATGACATTTCTACAGACGTTTTTTTTTCCCTAGAAAATTAGATGAAGGAGGAAATTCTAAAATACAGAATTTCTGCTTTTAACCAGACAGAATTTGCAGTATAAAGTAGGCCAAGCACAATGGATTAGAGTATGTGTTTCTCCCTCTTCGGAAGTGATTTGTGGGGGAGCTCTCTTGTTCTCTGGAAGTCTTAATCCTTTCTGAGCAGCACTTACATGGCAACCTTAGAGAATTAAACTTGTACCTGGTTATTTTTTTTCCCCTCTTCTGGATATAGCTCAGTGCGTTTTCTCAATGGTAACCATGGTCTAGTAATTTAAAGCTTTTGAACCTTGTGAACAGATTCATTTAAAACCATATTCTGAAGGGTTTCCACAAAATGGAAAAATGTCTTCTACCAGGAAACTACAAAAGAATTTACAACAGAAAATCTGATAAGTGTTCACTGAGGATGTGTTTACAGTAGTATCTAGAGTAAATCATTCAAAAAGTTCCTGATCATTGGAGTACAGCTGCAATTTTCCTTGCCTTCTCCTGATTGTTTTTTTCTTTTAAATACAGTAAATATTTCAAATTTAGTAAAAATTCCCAAGAAGGAAAGGTCTTTCTAAAATATGAAATCATAAAAAAAATGACAATAGGTAGGAATAGTAACATTTTTACATCAGAAAAATTGAGTTAGTTGAGCAGATTTCTTTTTGATGCTATTCATTCAAAGACAACATTTTGGTTAACAAAAAATCCTTGCAGAAGTTGAGGAGGCATGCCTACATCCTCAGATCCTGTGGCAATCACTGTGGTTTTGTCACTGATACTGATATTATTTTACATTCAGGTTACTATATTTGAATTAATTTTGTATTCAAAACGAGTGATCATTGTTTATGTCTGAAGTTGACACACATGCAATACTTGCAAGAAGAGGTTTTTCTCCTTTCTTCTTACCAAAAAGAGAAGATTTGAAGTTTTGTTGTTATTGCTGTTGTTGTTTTAAGAATAAAATGGTTGTTTATTGGTTACATACAATAAGAGCAACTGCTGTTGTTTTTCTTTTAATATTGCTCTCAGGCACTGATTTTTACTTTTCCCCTAAGGGCATCTCAGAGAAAAGTGATAAGAGAGTCCTTTAATAAGCGCTCTTCCCTGCATATGTGCACATTCATATGAGTAATTAATCAAAACTAAAATAAAGCTCTGTAATGAATGGCTGAGTTATGGGCCATCTCCTGCATGCAGGGTCTCTCTCTTCCCTGGATCTCAATTTAGGTAATGGTGAGATTTTTCCATCAAGATAAAACGGTTAATACAACGTACATTTTAATAATTTAAACCTCCTCACTAACTGTTCTTTTAAGATCTTCTGTAAGATTTTTAGCATTATATTTTTGCATACTGAATATGGAATAAAGACACTACAAATGTATGTGTAATGGATATATATATATATATATATATATATATATATCTCCATATATCCTGAAGAAGTGATTCATCTAAGTTGCGTTGCTTTACTGATTTTTCCTCAAAGCATCCTCCTGGCTTTTCATTCAAATATAAGTAGCAACAAATCACACTGTGAAAGAATGATCTATAATATAGATTGTAGTTGAATAATAAGTTAAAATAATTTGGGGGATAAATTAGCATTGAACTATTCCAAAAATTAGGAGCACAGCCTTTCTTATTAGTAATGAGAGTCAGGCACTCTAAGCTGAAATGTTATCACCTGTGTGTTTCCTGCTATAAAATTATAACTCGATATTCAGTGCAAAGGCGATACTTGATTCTTTTGAAGCCCATTGTTGATGAAATTCCTTTGGGTCTCTGGCATTTCACCTCAGAAAAAGCACTGCCCAGGAATGCCACTGTAATAAAATATGTCAAACTCCCCTGTCTTTTAAGTACCCTCTCTTCAAATCCTTCTCTTGTCAATTCATGAAAACCACTCTTCCTATACTGGGAGGTTCTCTAGGACAAGCGTCTAGTCTGTAATAGCTAATATAAAAACTTGAATGTTTTAGTGCTCCTCTGAGATACACATGGAAGGATAACTTTTCATATGCTGTGATGTAGGTCGGCTGCTGCCTGTTCAAGACACGAATAAATAACCATTTATATTGATGAGGAAACAAAAGATAATATCCACATACCTCTAAACTCTTCCTAAATCAGGCCGGACAACCAAATACCTTCCAACCTAGGGAAAAAAAAGAAAAAGAAAGAAAGAGAACATTTTTTAAAGACTCTCTAAACTATATCATTTAGGAAGATTTCTAGACTTTATCTGTTCTGATTTAGACCAGCTACAGTAATGTTTATCATGCATATGCTTCAGCTAAAATTCCTCAATTTGATGCTAAATACACTTTTTATTTCCTACAGTTACTCTGACATTTTAAATAAGTCTAATTCTCAGAAATATTTTATAAATTAAAGAATGATAGCCAGGCATGGTGGCACACACCTGTAGTCCCAGTGGCTTGAGAGGCTGAGACAGGAAGACGGTCAGTTCAAAGCTAGCCTCAACAACTTAGTGAGGCCCTAAGTAACTCAGCATGACTCTGTCTCTAAATAAAATATAAAAAGGGCTGGGGATGTGTTTTAATGTTTAAGTGTCCCTGGGATCAATCCCCAGTTTAAAAAAATGATACAATGTTTTGATAAAATGGGACTATGAACTAAACATAATTTCCAATGCATAGAATCCTGCTATAGTTGAAAAGTCAATGGAAAGAATAGAAAACATAAAATGTTATATGGTCTGTCTTAGAAACAAAGAAAAGAAATATCATAAATAATTGAAATTCACAGATAAGCCAAGGCTATCATTTTTAGTCAGTTAGCTCCACCTGTTTCCAGGCCTTTACAAAATTGAACACACAATTGCAAAACCATTGGCTTGAATAAAACTGCTTTTTTTTTCCCTGCCATATTGTCCAAAAAAAAAAAAAGGAAAAGGGAATACAAAGAAACCACCCAATGACCCTAATAGTCCCTCCCTCTCTAAACTGGGATTGGAAGATGCTGATTATATTTAGTGGATAATCAAAGAACTGGATGAGATGAAAGAAACAGCGTAAATTAACCATGTCAGAAAACATGGTAAGCCACTCTGATGATTATAAGTCACTCTGTTTGTTGTCTTGTAGAACAAAAATCAGAATGGCTGACTACAGATTTTACTTTTCATCTGGATGCCGTGGTATTTTGCAGACACAGCATTTGGTTCAGGGGGAACATTGGAGTTTTAAATTTGTGTGACACTGTGGTAATTTTTCACTGTGCTTCTTATTTTGTCTCTCCTAAATGATCAGTGTTACCACTAAGCATGGGCAATGAGCAGTGTGGCATCTGCAAGTTAGATAAGAAAAAATGTAACACTAGGAAGCTTCTAGTCTGGTGTTAAGAGTCTTGAGGAATCCAAGGGGGAAGAGTTCAGGCTGATGAGAAGGCTTTGATGGGTAAAATATGCATCTGACTTAGTAGGTGGAGATGGCTCAGTAGGATGTCTGTGACTGTCTTGTGTCTAACCCACTGTGGCACTGGCCCCAAATTGAAAAGACAAGAAAAATAATTAAGAATTTTCTTGCTGAAGTATTTAACCTTTAAGGAAATAGAAAAGAAAGACAGAAATTTAGGGGAAAGAAGCCCATTAAAATTTAATGGCAATTGGGCTGGGGCTGTAGCTCAGTGGTGGAGCATTTGCCTTGCATGTGTGAGGTACTGGGTTAGATCGATCCTCGGCACTACATAAAAATAAAGAAAGAATATGTGGGACATTATGTCTAAAAAAAAATTAATGACAATTTACTCTACATTGGAAAGTTGCAGAGTGAGCAAAATGGATTTGTTTGTGCTGTCCCAAAGGTGAAGTAATTTCAAAAGTAACTAACTATTTAATGCAGAAGGGTCATAGACAAACTCACTTTGAAACATGTTTAAAAAACACCATTCTCAGGGCTAAGGCCACAGAGTTCAGTGGTAAAGCACTTACCTAACGTGTGTGAGGCCCTGGGTTCAGTACCCACATCACCACAAAGAAAAAAGAAAGAACTCATCATTCTGAATTTCATCATTTCTGGTTAGTCAGATACAAAGCACTCACAGAGTTTCAAAATCACAACGTGATTTTTCTTGGACCTAGACAGGAACCATACTGTAAAATGATATAACAAGTAGCTTTCTGTGCAGGTTCATGTTCTGGTACTTGGTGATGTTTCCACATAGGCAGATTTGTACAGATGGAAAGTGAGATCTTTGCGGAAAACCATGCGTGGTCTCTAACTACACTGAAGCTGTATCCCTGCTCTCCTCTTGTCCCAGTGTCTTCTGTCTCTAAAGTCTTAGCTCCATGGGATCCTAATTGTCCTCTGTACTGAGGCAAGAGGCAAGGCCACTGTGGAAACACATCACCTGGAATAAAGGGATGACTCTAAGACTTGTCACTTGTATTCCAAAACCAAATCACTTGCTTCACAGCCTGTGGCCCAAATCACTGATAACTACCTAGGAAATTAGCCGGTAAAAGGCCATTATTAGAGAATAGCTGGGAGATGGGTAAAGCAAGATGAATAAAAGCAGGAATCAGAGGAAATATTTCCTCACAGATCAAATGGGACGTTTTTAAAAATAAGTAGTACCCTTTTGCCTTCAGTTTTCCAATCAATAAAAGAGTAAATAAATACAATGCTACATGGTGTGCTGTTTGAAGTAATGAAGATAGCACAGGCCTTGGGACTGACTATTAGGTTTGCATTCTTTGTTTTTTGTTTATTTTGTTGTTGTTGTTGTTTGGTACCAGAGATTAAACCCAGGGATACCTAACCAATGAGCCACATCCCCAGCCCTTTTTTATATTTTATTTAGAGACAAGGTCTTGCTAAGTTGCTCAGGGCCTAGCTGAGTTGCTAAGGCTGGCTTTGAACTCATGATCCTCCTGCTGAGAGTCTCCTGAGCCGCTAGGATTATAGTGTTGCTCCACCGCACCCAGCTCAAATTCACATTAATTAGTTCATCACTTTTTAATTCTGACAATTTGTTAATTCATTTGTCTACATCTCACTTTCTTAACTTGTAAAATGGGAATGATATAATATTTCGTGAGTACAAAATTTAATTAATATACTAACTAACCTAGGTATTAATATTGAATGAGTTGTGCATTTTAAAGGTGACTGCATGCACAATTCACAACAAATTGTTCCTATTTTATTTAGGATAATTATTTCCCAAGAATTTCATACTTTCCATTTCTAAGATGTTTGGAATAGATGTACATATTGTCAGTGTTCTTGTATTCACTCATATTTCATTGAATGAGAAAGGATAAAATTCCCAATTTGGTAGGTGAAAAAACAAATAGAAATAGGCAATGCCAGGATTTTTTTTTAATATAGCAGCCACAATATAAACAAGCTATATTCTACCTCTCTGGTCACATTGCAATGAGAAGATTTAGGGATACACAATGAAGGTTGAAGGTTTTAACTCCAGGAAATGTAGCCAATTTCCAGCTTTCTTTCAAAATCATCTTTCTTGTCAGGTTCTGAATAAAAACTTCTGCTTTAGGGAAGATTACCAGAGGTAAATAAGTATGATAAATAGGCAGGTTGGAATGGATAGCAAAAGCTGAGCTTCCACAGCTAGCATCAAAGAATTCCACTACTAAAAACACTGAGGATTCTTTATGCTGCTTTTTCCCTGGCATTAGCACAATACTATGGGTCAAGTGCATAGTAAGAGCTCCATAGTATGTTGAATGTGTGAATACATGGTAGATAAATGGCCCATTTTCTTTGGAAGTATTCCAAAAGGTGTTATCTATTCTAGGAGATAGAGATGGCTTCTAATAACCAATACTGATATTCTTAACCCCGTGTGGAGTTGGAAACTCAGAACTCTTTGACTTGACTATTCTGGATTTCAACATTGTGCTAATACACTATCAACATCCTCCACCTCTATTCATTGGCCTTGTGCATCTCTAGACTGAGCCTGATTAGAATAAGGATGTTTCAAGATCTTCTGTTCCAAACCCTTTATAATTGCCATGTTCTTAACAAAATACAGTATTCCATAAATGGTTTATTTTTTGCTTTGTGAACCTGATCATATAAGAAATGCCATAGCAAATGAGCTCAGTGATCCATGTAGGTAAGTCTGTTTTCAGCAGTGGCCCCAAAGAATAGTCTTTGAGAGATTGTGGTTTCTATGTAGATATTATGGAAGTGAACTTCTCCAACATCTCCTAATAGTTCACCAACAATCTCTCATATGAGAACTCACTTAATCATTTTGAATATTATAAACTAAAAATAAATTTCTACCAACCCTCCCTAAATTTTAGCAAAGTTCCTTACTAAACAAAGAAATTCCAGCATTCAAATGATGATGAATACTAAACTATGATAAAAAAAAAACAATTAGCTAGAAAGAGACTGTGATGCAATACAAGGCATTTTTAATCAGCACTAGACATACAGGTGAATTTCTAAGTAAAACATTAATTTCATAGATTTCAATCTACCTCTATTCCTTTTATTCTCTTTTCTCATTCCCCAAGAATGTTTTTTTGTTGTTGTTGTTTTGTTTACAGATTTTGTGATGTTTGCTTTATCCAAACACAGAGATATCACCAGAGAATCACCCTCCTGGTTGATTTGTAACATCTAGATGAAGCTAATAATGATAAATTGTTCCACCACAGCAAATTTTTAGAAGACTCAGGTGTTAAAAAAAAAAATTCAATTTGTGAACATAACAAAGCTCAGTTGAATTAACAAAGGCGACTTCAATTGAATAGCATGTACAGGGTAAAAGATATTTTTTGTACCTCCATAAAGGAAACTTTTTTTTTCTTTTTACACATACATCATTCAAGTACCAGGGGGAAAAAAATTCCTCTCAGGCACTGTTTATTGAAAAATTTCATGAGAGCCAATCTCCCTTTTCCAGCAGAGCATCAACCTACCTTTCTAAAAGGGGAGCAGATGATGCTTTTGAAAATACTGCCTGCATGTTGCAACACATTTATTTAAAAATGCTGTTTCTATTATGCTGGAACACTCAGAGTAAAACCTTGTCATAAATGGTGTTATCACCAGGAATGGCAAGTTGTTTTCATGCAAGAAGTTCAAAATCTCCTCTGATGTGGTCAATTAAGGGAGCTTTATATAACTCCTTAGGACCAACTGAGGG